GACTGAATAGCTTAAATCTCATAACATTATACATTTAGATATTTTTATTATTTTATTATATTAACCTTTCAGCTGTGTCTGGCTAACAGTTGAGAAGTTACAATGATGCATCTCATGTGCACTCATGTTACCATATCAGATAACATAAAACTGACCTTTGGTCTGTGCAAATTATTATACATTATATATATATTATTGCTATTTTGAAATAAGTTCTTAAAATTATTTTTGTTAAAACATAGAACAGTAACTTAAGAAGTAAAGCAAACAATTATCTGTTCTAGTTATGACCTTTGTACATGGTTGCTGCTTGACGTAGGTTGCTAATCCTTTAAAAAAAATTGGACATGGAGGATATGAAAGAAAATATTTTTTTAGGTTTTATATATACATTTGAATAACTCAAAATCATAAATTACTACATTAATATCATAGAATTCCACTAGAAGTTATCAAACTTAGTAACTAAGGTGTATTTTAGTCTAAAAAAATATGAAATTTCGAGCAGACTAGAGACACACCCTACCTCATTGAAATATTGGTTCAAAAGAAAGAAATGGCACCAAGTCTGTAAAAATGACTGAGAAAGCCACTAGGGGACATTCTGAGCTTCCAATTGGTTATTCATGTCATATATAGAAGTAAGTGTATATAAGGGAGAATTTCCAAAAATGGAAAGAGGTGGATGGGGTGCCACTGTGTTTGATTTATTACATGAGTAATATCCTAGCAAATTGAAAAGATAAGAGGTTCTCATTTTATTTTCTAGCTTGTTAATATCGGTAATTTGAGTTTCTAATTCGTTCGAAACTATAGACTTAGTATTTTGACTTCACAAACATGACACACATAAATCGACGTTTATCTGTGTTTTTTTATATTTGCTTTTAAATTAAGAAATTGAGTAATATATAGTACTAAAATTTGAATTATAATCTACAGTTTGATACCAAACTTATTGATATAAATTCATGGAATAGTAATTCAATAAAATTTTGAAGCGAGTCAACAAACGACATGACCTTTCACCTCTGACCCATCTCAGAAAGGGTTAAGCACATTAAGAATCTTCAAAAACAGATCAGTTCTTGAACTTTTTTCTTCCATCTGTGATGTGTCAAGAAAAGTGTAACCCTATCTGGACAAGTGAGCACATTTTAGGTATCGAATGCACACCTGCATATCTAATTTCAAAATTTCAGTAAAAGTAATAATTCTATTTTAACAGTTGTCCAAAAGGCTGTAGCAGGTGTTGCTATCCAGTTCCTTTCCCTCTAGTCAGCAGTTCAATATTAGTGACAGTAGCAGATAACCTTCGTAGCTTTTCCGTAACAAAGAAAGAGTAAGCAAGTTGATTTAAGTATTTTGATTACCTGGAATAATCAGTAACTTGAGTTACTTGATTATTTTCATGACAGTGGCATTTCTTCGGTTTAAAAAAGCAGGATGGGGAAGTTTCTATGACTGGGTTATGCATGATGATATTTTATTTTAAAAAAAGTATTCTATCCTTGACAAAATGTGCAGAGGACATGTTATCTACATCTCCTGTGAAACTTGTGCTAAGGGTGACCATCAATATAATATGAGCTTTGATTAATTGATTGTTGGAGTAATTGAAACAGTAATGATCAGAGACACTAATTTCAGTTAATCAATTTAATTATCGTTTTGGTTAATTGAATAGTTAAAATATCTCTAACCAATATAAATGATGCTTCTAATTAAATTATTATGTAGTAATGTTTACTGAAAGTAAAAACCTTGCCAAATTACACTTAGTAAGTTTGTAATTATAGTAAACTTCATTATATATAGATTCACCAAAATCATTACCATAGGGTTAAAGTAATCACATAAGGAAATGTTTATATTTTTCCTCACATTATCTTAACAATTATAATATTTTCCTTGTATGTAAAGGAAAGGAAGTTTTTGGTCCAGTATTGTTTCACTGCTTTATAAGCCATTATTTACAGGTATGTTTTTATTGTAAGTAAAATAATGTTTTTGTGTATTATTACACCATGCTTTTGGTTTGATAATGTTAATATTATAATGTCTGAGAATGGAGTTCTTGGAACATAATAAATATAGTGGAAAATATAAATTGTGATTTCCATTGAAATCAGTTTATTATGAATTAAAGCTATTGCATTCTTAACATCCACATTAGCAATGTATATATATCTAAGGTGGTTTTGGCAGTGGTTATGCATTCATCAGGGTGTGATTGAACCTAAACCTAAATTTTCCTTTCATTTTTCAGCAAAATTTACCAACAGCATCGAATGATAAAGAAGCACCTCTTATGGGACATATTGTGATAACACAGGCCATCCCAGGCAACATGACAACCAGTTTAACAGCAGATGGGGCTATTATAATTGATGCAACTAAGCGCAAGCTACAGTTTTCAGATAGAGAGGTTATAGCTTTTTTCTTATCAGTATTTACTTCTATGTTCTAATATATGTGTAGACAAACATGTTAAAACATTTTATTTTGTGAAACAGTGTTAAGCTCTTAAAGCATAATAGATGTGAAAGAAATTGCAGGACACACTCACAAATTGCTAGTCATTTATTTTTAAATTAAGTAAGAATTTCAAAATATTATTAATGGTGAACAGCAATGTATACAAACAAGCTTGTTTTTATTATATTAACTTACAATATATGGATGTGCTGTACACGTCCAGTAATTTTAGGACTTGAGACACTCAGATACAATGATAGGACAGTATAAGAGTATTTTAGCCTTAGAAGAATCTAATGTATCCATTACAAGTATCTTTAACATTTTCTTTTGTTTACATAAATTCAAATGTTGGTAATATTATCGAAATGGTGTATTTAAGTGTTTTACACTCACAAAAAAGAAACCTATCATTCTATTGGTATTTGAAGAACTCGTAGCATTCCGCCGCAATTTAATTCTTCGTATTGTTAGCCGACATTGGGCAGCTGGTACATAATTGAATAGAGTTGTTTAACCCGATGACTACCGGCTACTAACTTTCTTAGTAGGCAATGCAAGTCTTGCTATATTTCATTCCAACAATAAAACTAGTGGACGAATATGTTCAAAAGTTCATAAAAACTTTGATAAATGTGGGTAGTTTAAGAAACATAAAGCCTATTACTTTTAATAAATTTAGTTTTTTTGCATTATGATCTTTAATATCTTGGAAAATTACATTAGGAAATGGTATTTATAAGAAATTATTATGATATTTATATTTGTTACAGATTTGAACTTATTACTGTTAATGTTTTAGTACATTATTTTGAAATTCCAAAAAATTGTATCCTCCATAAAATGCAAATTTTATCTATTTTTAATTTTTTTAATAATCAGGTACTCTTCATATGGTTTTAAGTAATATACAGACCCGTAAATAATATTTGTTAATAAACTAAACAATAAATAGAGTATTTTATTTTTAACTAGGATTTTATGTTTATGTTTCATTGCAGTCATACTTTTGTGTTTATTGTGCCGAATAAACCGTGGGGTCAGCAGCGTGAACTTTGTACGTTGTCCGTAAACTATCTCACCCCTTTAGGTGGTCACTCTCGTTCAACCGAGCGCGTGCGCATTTGAACATTACTGTAGATATGATAGTAAGAAAGCTTTTCGGTACTTGAATATCATTTCTTTGAACTTTTAAACAAGTTTATTTCAACATATGTCCTTGTATGTTGTTTCAGAATAGAGACAAAGCTAATTGCCACCACTAACGAATGTATGTAACAGTTTATAGTACAGGTGGTTTCAATAAACACCGCCTGAGCCTGACCCCTTGTTACTTGATACATCCTGTTAGAAGAGATTACAAAACGATAGACACCATAAATTACAAAGAAAATCACTTTACAGCACTTAAAAGATTAGTCCTGGTCAAATTCCTTTCATTATAGGCAAGATTTATGTTGGAATGCAAAACTTAAGCTCTTCAGTGTATTGAGACCCCAACTGTGAGAATGTTATAGCTTCCCTGTATTATTGAGATGAATGTATTTAGCCTGTTTCACAACCAACATATGGGTTTTATTGTTGTCACTTGTACACTGAGTTTGAACCATTTGGAAAATATCAGAATAAACTAAATATATATATCGGTTAGACTGTTTTAATTCTAACGCAATAACAACAGAAGTGTGGGTCTTACTACAAAGCAAAGATTGTAAGACGGAAAAATATAAAATTCTTATGTGGTACTGATACTAGCAGTATTACGCACAAATCACACAAGTTTATCATTCTAAATACTGAATCATATTATTATTATTATGAACTAAATATAAAATTATGCTAAATTATTGAACTTAAAACTACAAATTTCAATTCAAAAGAATATAAAAAATCACAAACTCTTTCAGTTCAAAGTCCTAAGTCTAATTCATGTAAAGACTTTGCACTTGCCACTCGATAACTCTTAACCCTAACAATCGTGGATCAACTTCTTTCCTAAAAATATATCTATTTTGAGTTAATTTTTCAATATAATGATTAATATAAACAGATATACCATGCAGCATGACTTAAGCTACTATATAAAAATAATAAAAGTCACGTACATCCCATGCGGTTTTTTCCAGAAGCAACTTTTCTAACAACTTATAGAAAAGCCCTATTGGCCAGTACTAAATACAACCTCTACATAAAATGGCAGTTACTATAATAAGCACCACCCACATTCATATTGTAAAATCCAGAGAACAACGTTTCATCACGTGCTTTCCTTATCATCCTATGATTTGTCAAATGGGAGATACGGCAATTGGAATAATTGGTACTGAAATTGACACTTTCGACTAGGATTGGCTAAAAGTTTTACAACTGAGGTTTAACATGCCCAGATGCAGTTGTATAAAGAAAACAGACTAGAAAAAGGTTTAGATACCAATCATAGATGGCAGGACCAGTGCTGAAGTGAAAGGAAATATCTTTACAAATTTTTTGAAAAAAAAAAACATTTCTTCTGAGAGGGTGCTTATTTATAGTCTAAAACATATTTTAGGAATTTTTTCATTAAATTCCTCTTTAAACTTCATTAAATAATACAATTTTGTACAAATAATTGAATGTTATGCTACTATTTACAAAAATAAAATCTGGATTCCAATAAAAGATAAGTTCTCTATCATTTTTTCAATTCACAAATGATTTTGCCCTCACAATAAGACAAAATGGCCCCGGAGAGTATAGGGTTAACTAACACTTCAGCACAGTCTGTCACTGGGAAATTAACTGAACAGTGAATAGTGCTATCTAGAGTGCCTGAACAACTTTGGATGGATCAGGAAGCAAACTTCAACAGCTAGTTCTTTACTACATTAATTCTTTTCAACCTGGGCTCAGTCCCTGGTACAGACCTCATAACCAATTTGTGCTTGCTATAGTTTTCATGCTATAACTTTTAAATTAGTAAGCAAATGTTAATGCAATTTGGCAGTTTATCAGTAAACATTAAAATGTTTTCATACGCAAAATATCTAATTTTTGTTTATTAAGTCTTAAGGTTTGTAAAGCAATGTTTCTCTAATGCC